CCGGCTCTGGAAGGGGGAAAGGGGTTTAAACTTACCTTTTTCCAGCGCTGGGCGGGGAGCTCTCCTCCCCCGTTCCTCCTCCTGGGCTGAATGCGCATGCGCGGCAAGTGCTGCGCGCGCATTCAGCCGGTCACATAGGAAAGCATTCATAATGCTTTCCTATGGACGCTGGCGTGCTCTCACTGTGAAAATCACAGTGAGAAGCACGCAAGTGCCTCTAGCGGCTGTCAATGAGACAGCCACTAGAGGATTAGAGGGAAGGCTTAACCCATTCATAAATATAGCAGTTTCTCTGAAACTGCTATGTTTGTGAAAAAATGGGTTAAACCTAGCTGGACCTGGCACCCAGACCACTTCATTAAGCTGAAGTGGTCTGGGTGCCTAGAGTGGTCCTTTAAGGCCAGCAACAAAGGCAGTGGATAACATCTGGGTATGTGCTTTGTTATATACAAATCCGAGATCGGAGAACGTTTGAGTCAACCTTGAATGGTATTTTTCCACAGATTCAAGTTTGTCTTGTATGATATCATTTATACAAGTGGCTTCGTCAGCTAGTTTATCCTGGGCCCAGGCCCAAATCTGTTCACAGAATGTAATACCGACTGGAAATCCATATCGGTAGTGAGGAGAGCATCATTAAAACTTCTTTCCATAATGGGCCAATAGGCATCCCCAGCCTTGATCTCACACAGACTATACAGATCACGCCAGGCTGCTGAGTATGTCTTACGAATCTGGGCAACCCTAAGGAAGAAGGGCATGGGCTGCTTCTCAGGGTTGGGGAGAGAGGTTACTAGGGTTGCAGCTTGGGAGCCCCTTCCACTATTGATGAAGCAGGGATGTGGTTGGCTGGGGTTGCCTGTCTCTGGGAAACCCTGTTATTCGAAGGATGGAATGGGCTGAGCCCTTGCACATTGTCATCCTCGGGGGGAACCGGGAATGGGAGACCATGATAGCTGGCAACATTTGGTGAATTAAGGGCTTGAGCGGCTGGAACATCGGAGTCGGGAGAACCGACAGCAATGGCCTGGAGAGTAACTAACTGGGATGGAAGCCTGACGGGTGGGATGGAAGCCTGACGCGGCAGGAGAAGCGCCTACAGCATGAGGCTGTCCTGACACGGTAGATTCATTCGACCTAACGATTATGATTGGGTAACTGGTAGTTGCCATGAGGGAGGCGGGGACAGGAGCCGGACTGGGTGAGGGTGCAGGCTGAGTAGGCTGAGGGAGATGAGTGGAGAGGGCGGAGATGAGTGAGAAAGATCGAGGGAGGGAGGGACAACAGGATTGGAGGCAGGAAGAGGAGGGGAATCTAGAACAGGGACAGAAGGTGTGGTGGGGAGAGGAGAGGTAGGAGCAGGAGTAGAGGGAATAGCAAGGGAAGAGGGGAGATGCGAAGGGGGGAACAACGGATGAAGGCGAGAGGGGAACAGGAGCAGAAGGAACGACAGGGAAAGGAGCTAGAGGGGCGTCAGGGGAGGCAACACGTAAAGGTGGGAGGGGAGCAGGAATAGGAGGAGGTGGGAGAGGGGTGATGTCGAGAGAAGTGATGGAGGGAGGTAGCAGAGGGACGGCATCAGTAGCGACAAGGGAAGGTGGAAGAATGGCGGGATCAGAGGGAAGTGGGAAGGGGACCGGAATAATGGGAAGTGTGGAGGTAGGCGGGAGAGGGACAGGGTAGTCATAGGATCCATCCGCCCCAACAACGGGGTACAGAGGGGTGGGGACAGAAGGGCCTATGACAATTGGAGGTGGCGACTGGGCCGTGACTGGGGAGGCGGGGCGAGATTTATTCACGGTATTCTGGGCACCATCATACGGGGGTGGCCGGGGAACATCAAGAGACGAATCATCATTACAAGCATTTTTGTGATATACATAAATCGTTTGTCCTTCAAAATCTATTTCTTCCTCTGACCAACCCTCCTCTTGCTACCCGATATCAAGCCTCCACAGGTTTCGTCAACCCATTGTCCAATAGCAAGCTCTCTTTATCAATAAGCAATTTCCTCCAAAACTCTGGCTATAATCTACCACTGGGTGACATTTGAAAACCACAAATCTTTGCTATCTTCTTTATTTTTAACATAGCCACTTCTCCAGCTCTTTTCTTAACAATATCACAAGCTAAATAGCCTTTGGAAGCTCTGGCGTGTTCTTGTCCCATTTTTACCAAACAAGGCTTCCCACGTAAGAGGGACAGAGAGAGAGAGAGAAAAAAGAAGGAATGTCTACAGTGCTCGATTGCCACGAGGAATTGATCCCCGTGCGTCTTTCCTAAACGTAGACTAGTCACAGGATCCGCCCACCCGAGATGGTGGTCACGGATCTGAGCTGGCGAGCGTGGGTGACTAACACAGCTCTGGGCAACAAGTGCAGGAGAGGTAGAGAATGAAGGAAAAGGTGAACGTGGAGAGAGTAATCAGAAGACATTTACAAGAGTCACAGATGTAGAGATGTGCACATCCGGAATCAAGGATGAGCCACACAACACAAACACACACAGCGAGGGTACCCACACTATAGCCACAATTGAATAAAAACCATAATATAATAAAGAACAATATAACAACAAGCATAGTAACAACTAAACAGTAAATAAAACCCTGTTCTGCTCTGAACAGTATGACAAAATTCCCAGCCTTTCTCTAGGCGCATGTGTTTCCTGCCCGCTAGGCAGTCAAGCTATAATTAATCCCCAGCCTTTCTCTAGGTGGTTCACAGCCCTTCACCGGGCGGACAACATTCCCAGCCTTTCTCTAGGTGGTTCCCAGCCCTTCACCGGGCGGATGCATTTCCTGCCAGCTAGGCAGTTAAGCTATAATAAATCCCCAGCCTTTCTCTAGGCGGTTGCGTACCCTGCCCGCTAGGCAGTCAAGCTATAATAATAAAACATAAACCACACACCAGCTGTCTCATACGTACACACACACTCAGGAGGCAGATAGACAATCGACAGGTTCGTTTTAAAAGGCACTGGATAAGAGATTGCCTGTCTTGTAGCCTTCTGGAAGCCGGATGTGGACACGGCGACAGACCGACACAAAACAGGAGAATACAGGCAAACCGCTGTATTTAGGAGGTGATCAGGCTCCGGTTGTCCCACTTTCCGGAGGTCCACACCGGTCCAGTTTTCCGGCCGTCCGAACCGGCGAGAATCGGTGCCCCACGTTGGGCGCCAAATGATGTGGAATTAATCAATAAATTGATTATCTTGCGTATCTGCCTCAGGCCAAATTAAGAAGTAAAGCGTGCAGGCTCCTAAAGTAATTCACACCAGACACAGGTTTCGGGTTAATGAAAAACTTGAGGAATGTTTATTCTGAGGGAACGGCATGTCCCTTATAAAGCAAAATTACATCATATGCATTGCCAGAGATAACATGGAATAATACATCAATAATTGGTTAGGTGTTAAGTGGTTCATTTAGTGCTCTTCCTACCGGGTGTGATGTCACTGGTATCTTGCAGATCTCCCCCAGATTCCAGCGCCATCTTGTTAATGAGGGTGCTTGTAAAAAATGTAGATGAATGGATGTTCATGTGGAATCTTCTTAATTTCTTCTTGTCTTCAGCTGATTGATATATATACGTCTTTTGTATATATATTCTTGGGCCAAATGCTCGCCACAATAATATATGTCTATATTATTGAAAAGTAGTAATACGCAATCTGACTTACGGTTTCTTCAGGTTTATTCTTTGTTACGGATACATAATAAAACATAATACATGATGTTACAGGATAATGGACATTCAACAGCAGATGGTAATTGCTGGACTTCTGATGGGAGAGTTACATCGTTACAGAGCCGAGAGCCAAGCCAAGACAGGACTAAGACTGCGAGACCTCGTGTCCCTCTGTTACTATATAGATGTGCTAATACTAACGTCAGCATTTAACTCTAGCCATATAAGGAAAAGACCCCCGAATCCACATTCCAGAGCTCTCGGACAAAGAAAGCCTTGTGACTTATTGATACCATCTGTTACTTATGTCAATCCACACATCCATATATATAATCAATAGAAACATAGAATATGCAATATTCTACAGTGCTAGTCGATGTCAAAGGGAAACTCCCTAGTGGCCATTTTAGGTAAATCACATATAAAGTTGAATAATGCTGATTGTAGTTATACTGAGTAAATAGGCATTTTACCAACATGGATTGGGTTAATATTTTTGTCCACAACAAAGGGCACAAAGTAACATTTAAAACAATATATTTTTTTAAAAGGTGGTGCAGTCACTGGGGAAGCAGTTCATTTGTCAGGTGGTCAGCTGCGATTTTTCACCAATCGAATAGTGTGTTGTCCTCCACTGGACACTGATAAGACTTCCCTGTCATTTCATAGGGGCTCCACACATCTTCCTTTTCACCACTGCCCTGTTGCTGGTTGGTTCCCATTCCCCAAGAAAATAAATGACCATCCCTTGTAACAGCATAACTGAGAGAGAACGTTATATTGCTTTTCCAGGTTGTATAATATTTTTATTCACCTATTTGGTGTTTGGTTATTTTCAGCCTGTATTTATTCAATCTACTTTAGTCCCCTTTTTGTTTTTTTCTTTTGCCATAACTGAGAGATGCACTACAGGCTACAGATACAATTTTGGGTAAATCTAGAACTTTTCTCCTCTGCCTGTTCTCCAAGCCCAAGTCGGCCATATTCTAAGCGACTAAGACTATATGTTTTTCCATCTGAGTCCACACAGAGAGATTCCCCTCCCCCACCCCCCCAGAAAAGCCTACCCAGGACTTAGTAGAATTTTTGAAAGAAGCCAGGTTTTGGGGTGCAAATTAGGGACTTGTGCTCTTTGTACCCAGTTGGTGGTAGTTTGAAAGCCCAAAACCATAAAAATGTCCATCACTTGATACTGCAAAGTTAAAATATGCACCACAGAAGACATCCTGGAAATGCACACGGCCAGTCCCTTTAACTTTCAAGTGAATGCAATCAAAAGTCGCTCAAGGCCATTGCGCCCACCACCATTAGTAAAGCTCTCGGGAACATGGCCCAGCTGACCCTGCTCTCCACAACCTGAGGTGTAAATGTCACCATCTGAGGTAAGCATTACAAGATGATCATTTCCTAAAGGCAATTTTGATGACAGGTACATCAAAGCAACATTACTCTTCTTCATGGGCTCCAACAAACCGATAGCACCATTATTATCCCTGAAGGATCCATAGATGAACACTCTACCATCTTCTGTCAAAGCAGCTATATGACTGTCTAGTGCAGACACCTATACAACCTTTTCAGATAGCTTAACCTTTCCAGGTGTCGTTTCTGATCCCTCTCCGGTAGTGTCTCTGCCCCTTCGTCATTACAGCCAAAACAAAATGTGTGCATTCCTCCTGCCTCTGCCTGTACAATCTCCTCTGGGAAAGGTACCAGAGCTGGCCTTTTTCTCTCTATCACATCCTCTCCCAGACCCAGCTGTCCAGCATCACCTTGCCCTAGGGCCAAGACCTGTCCTTTAACTGTGCCATGTGAGGGGTGGTCACTATCTTTGGAACCTTTGTCTCAGTGGTTCCATTGCTCTCCTTGGGTGAAGCATTCCTTTTACATACGTAGAAAGCCGCAGTCCCGGTCTCAGGTCTTTCTTGTTACATTGATCATCCAAACCCCTATAAGGTTGTGTGACTATAGCTCATTCGCATAGTAAGTTCCTTCTTACTCTCCTGAAATCCCAGTAGAGCGTGAGAACTATTAAGTACTTTGTTATTCACATACCCAAACATCAGTCGAGACTTGATGAAGGGTACAACAGGAATGTTTTATTATAGCCAGATGGTCCACTTTTATACACAGACCCCCACCAGGGGTCTCCAGCAAAAACACGAGTAAAACAAGCCTAGGCATCTCTGTGTCTGGGAGATAATTGAGTGTACTTTGCTTGAACTAATTAACTCCCAGGCACTAGATGTACAATGAATAAAACATAAAATACCCCAAAAGATACATAATATTAATAGGGATCCCACAAGTCTTATATCCCCAGATAGCCTGGATCTGAGCGCCCAAAGTGTCCAAATAGTGCTCTGAACCCACAAATCCAACCGAATCATCCCCAGGGTAATGTTTTGACCAACCTCACACATGGTGTCTGCCCAAAATAGTTCCAGAAGAGAAGTGGTAGCGGTCGGTCACTTTCGCAAAATCCCAAAACGAATAAAATACCGAACAGTTCCCCTGGCCCAAGGTAGCAATTGTTCATCTAGTTTGAGCATACCTTTTCACCGAATAGTGCTCTCCTGGCTTGTAAGGAATAGAAGGCGGCGGTGGTACAACGTTATCAGTGTTTGCGAGTTAGATTGTCCGGCTTGGAGTTCCAGGCACTTGATGCTGCCTGCTTTCGGGAGACAAGATGGCCGCTGTTTTCCAGTGCACATGTTGCTCGGTTATACGAACAGCAGTTGCCCAGGGAGAGCACTTACCTTTGTGGTTACTTTGAAGTTAATGAGCCGGGGGGGATGGTTTTGTTCGGTTGATCAAACTACTGAATAAAGAGAAAATAACTAGGGAAAAGGGAAATCACAGGGTTTTTAGGGTGGTTTGTCACAGTATATCAGGGGGCCGGGAATATAAGGGATTAAATGAAAGATATAAGCAAAAAAAATAGTATATGCACTACAAATGTGGAATACAAACGTATAACTGGAAATGTTCCCAGGTGTACCTCACAGACACCCAAAAGACAATATAGGAAAAGTAAATGGAAAAACCCCAGAATACGTATAAGTGAATATATAAATTAAACAACAACCTGATGTAGGATATGGTCCATATAATAGATTCTGTGTGAAAATCAGAATACTGACATAGCGTAATACAGTAAAAAAGGAAAAAATATATAAATATAGGTGAATATAGATACACTCACAAACGAACGTGAAAATAAGGCTTTCCGCCCTCTCTGGGGTAATATGAAGTATGATGAACGAACTGGAGAATCACCTCATCAGATATATGTAAATAAAGGAAATCAGAGATAGTGAAGTTTGTTATAAAAATACAAAATCACATTTATTGGTCACACTTACATATGTGAAAATCATAAAAAGCGTATCTCCTTATAACCTGGAACTCCATCCAGTGTGATCAGCGGTCCAGAATAGGATCCAACAGGAGTAGTTATAGGAAAACAGCCCAAAAATACAAATAAAAAAAATAAAAAAATAATAAACAGTAATTTAAAATAATATATAGTATAAGTCCATATATATATTATTTTAAATTACTGTTTATTATTTTTTTATTTTTTTATTTGTATTTTTGGGCTGTTTTCCTATAACTACTCCTGTTGGATCCTATTCTGCACCGCTGATCACACTGGATGGAGTTCCAGGTTATAAGGAGATACGCTTTTTATGATTTTCACATATGTAAGTGTGACCAATAAATGTGATTTTGTATTTTTATAACAAACTTCACTATCTCTGATTTCCTTTATTTACATATATCTGATGAGGTGATTCTCCAGTTCGTTCATCATACTTCATATTACCCCAGAGAGGGTGGAAAGCCTTATTTTCACGTTCGTTTGTGAGTGTATCTATATTCACCTATATTTATATATTTTTTCCTTTTTTACTGTATTACGCTATGTCAGTATTCTGATTTTCACACAGAATCTATTATATGGACCATATCCTACATCAGGTTGTTGTTTAATTTATATATTCACTTATACGTATTCTGGGGTTTTTCCATTTACTTTTCCTATATTAAATGAAAGATGCCTTTAATTGGTGACTATGATTATATCTTTTCTAATTTTCCTCTGTTGTGTTTTCCACCTCTTGTCCCTCTTTCTGTGAAGACCTTTTCCTTTTTGTGTATGCTAGTGACCATTCTGTATTCACTTTGTTTCAGTCTCTACATGGACTTTCCAAAAATAACCTAATTATTTTCTGTATTTTCTAGAGCTTTATATCTATTCCATAATTCTAATTCAGGTTCTTTTTCTCTTCTGTAATGATGCATTTCTTTTTGTTTCTCCTTCTTAATAAATGAGAGGGTTCCTTTATATTCTGTGATTCTATATGTGGAATTCCATGTTACGTGTCTGATTTTGTCTTCCATCTTCACTATATTCGATATATATATATTCTTTTTTTCTCTTCTTGATTCTGTCACATAGTGTAGTCTGTTCGGTCTAATATAGGTGTGGTGACATTCTGTCATCAAACTAATATGGTGACCAGGGGTCATGTGACCAAGCTCATGTATGCCTTTCTTACAGTGGGATAAGCTTTACCCTTTCATATGGTAATTGGGTAATTCAATACCTTTACAAGTCAGGAAAGAGGTAACCACTTCCCCCTATCTCCATTCCTCTCTGTTCCTTCTTGGCTGTGCTACTGAGCAGACCCTTAAGCAGACATGGCCTAATTTCTATCATGGTGAACTGTGAGTGGGATCTGGTGATTTTATAAGATGTAGTTGTTATTGTTAGTTAGGTTGTTGTTGTTGCTGTTGTTGGTGGTGGTGGTATAGTTAGTTAGATTATGTGTCATTATTTGTATGTTGTTGTTGGTTTCTTTTTTTTTTTTTACATTTTTATTGTTTTTCAAATATAAACACACCTCGTTACATTGTGGATATAACAATGGTAGAGAGACATACAAACTTGGTGATACAAGCAAAATTAATGTTCATAACGCCCAAAGGTAAGACGGTTGACAATATCAAGACTTTTGTTTGCAAAGAATGGGTCTGTCCCAACAATATGTAAAACTAGAACATTATAGGTGTGAAATGAGGACATGTTATAGAAAGTTACAGTTGGTTTCGTAGGACAATTAGTCACATAATGGTTACCTCGTCGACAGAGATATACTTAAAGCTGCGTTGTAATAGGAATAATACGGTTACAGGTACATCGTTTGGTCTGTGTTTTCAGTCCTGTGCATTTTATGAGTCACATTATTGGTTAGATTGCGTAATATATATAGTCGTCACTTAGGTCTAGGTCTTTGTCGGTTATGTTTCGTTGGTGTGTCGGGGCTACCGTTTAACTTCTACTTCGTCGGTCCCTGTTTCCGGTTGTGCTGTTGACTATTACGAATCTTACCCCCCCTGTACACCCACCTCCCCCCCCCCATTACATCTGTGTTGGTCAGACCCGCCCAAAGGAGAAGCCCTACTTTTAGTGAATGTGTTCCAGAGGTTCCAAACCTCGATGTGGTTCAAATGTGTTATAACTTCCATTAGTCTCGTATCTTCCACCCTCTGTATCCACTCCCTGATTGATGGAGGTTTGGGTTGTTTCCAGTTTTGGGGTATTAACGGAGATGCTGCTGTAGTTAGGTGTGTGAAAAGAATAGCATCCTTTTTCAAGAAGCCGTGTGGGGGTATATGAAATAGGTAGTTGTTTGGAGCTAAGGGGAATGTGGTCTGGAATATGTTTTGGATTAGCGTGTGGATTCTGTTCCAGTATTTAGCGATTTGCGGACATTGCCACCAGATATGTGCGTGGTGTGCTCCTGCTTGGTTGCACCTCCAGCATTGGTCTGTGGGAGTGGTGTGTATCAGGTGTAGTTTCGCAGGCGTGTGGTGCCATCTGGTGACTCTTTTAAAGTTACCCTCTTGGGTTGAGAGTGAGATAGATGAGACATGTACCTTTTTTAGGATGGTTCGCCATTGTTGAGGTGAGAGATTGATTTTGAGTTCTTCCGTCCATTTAGTCGTGTAACCTGGAAGAGTCTGTGAGTGCGAGTCTATGATCAGAGAGTACATAGTGGAGAGTACTTTTTTAGCGATCAAGTGTGAAGAGCAAAGTTGCTCGAATTTAGTCAGGGGTCTATCCCCGCTAGGTAACAGGTTATGCGTCTGCCAGTTCCCTTCCTTCAGCTGATCAAGAACTCTTACATGGTTAGGGGACTTAGCTTTATGCGCTCCCAGGCAGAGACGACACTCAGCCCTGGAAGCTCTTAGTCCTTACCAGGCCTTTTCCCCGTTACATCCCATGCAAGCTGGAACAGCAGACACAGGAGTTAACTCTTCCTTCCCTCCAATAATAGGACAACACACAGTTTTGGAGGTTAAAGCACTGCAAGGGATCTCCATTCAACACAATACACTTCCCTTAGTCCCAGGCAGGAGGGGGCTAGGTTACAAATAGCCATCTCCCGCCTTGGGAGATACCAACAGTATACAGGGATACACATGAAAACACATTACATTCAGTAATAGTTTTGCATTTTTCACACACAAACAAATATCAACACTAACTTTGGCCA